TGAGGGAGAGAGACGAAATAGGGAAAAGACAAAGAAAAGAAAGAAATGGCGTGAGAGAACCAGAAAATGAGAGAGAAATTCTTGGAATTTATTATGAAACGTTTGACCAAAAGTATAAGCTTTTGTTAAGTGGGGTTCATGGGCTTGGCTTGGTCTGCGGCGAAATAAAAAAAGAAAGGTGATTTGGGTTTGAATGGAGGTTGGGCCGCTAGTTAAGAATAAAAATTAAAAAAAAAAGGCAAAGATTGGTTCACTCTCTACCTTTGCATTCCTCCATTTTTCATTAAAAAAAAAAACAAAACAATAAAAAGATGGATTTAATTCAGTCTCCAACCGGGAATGGAATATAATAAAAAAATATAAGTTTTATGTATCTTGTATTTAATTCAGATGTTCGAAGGGTTTAATTATTTCAATTATTTTTTTTATTTATATATTTTATCTCGTTTGTATTTAATTTAATATTTATTTATTTTAGTTTTGACTTTTATGCATGCATGCTATTAATAAAAAAATATAAAAAATAATAATAAATTTTCTCAACGAAGTCTCCTTTTGGTAGAGACTCGTCGTTTCGTGGCGAAGTCTCCTATCCGATAGGGACCTTCGTCACCAAATCATCATTTAATTTAATCGAGTGTCCTCCGATGCACCAGCTTGTGTGAAGGCATTAAGTGGATCCGATGTTTGAACCGACATGTCTCCCGATGAAGGGGATCGACGATCGTTTCAATACGATGCCATGCTTAAAACTAATTTTTTTTTATTTGATTTAATTTGATTTATTTATTATTATTACTTTTTGCTTTAAAAATTAGAGTTTCAAAACAAAAAAAATAATAATAATTTGACATAAATGAAACATTTTAGGAGATAAATTTAGGACTAAACTAGACATGGTACCTTTTTTCGGAAAGGGCACTTTTGGGTGAATAAATATCTTTCCAAAAGTATAACCAACTCGCTTACCATAGAATTTCTGGACCAATGTAATTTATAGGTTCCTAGTTCCTTAATACTAGGTAGTGACTCGAACATATGATCAAACTCTATAAATAGGGATTTAATTTTTAGGAGTCCCGTCCGACGTCGGGTATCAATAGAAGGAATGATAATTTTAAGATTTTTAATATATATAAAATGAATTCGTGTATTGAAAATTTTTCTAATTTTAACACTTACTAGTATAAGGTGTCATCTCATCATAGTTTAATAAAACATAGGTATGGGATGCAAACTTTTCTTCATCTCGTCAACATATGTGATTTTACTCGACAAAGAGATTGACATTTCAATTTGAATATAGCAAACATTCTTTTAATGTCATCACTTGATTCTTGAGCACGATCAAAGTTACGTGAAACTTTTCGATGCTTGGTATGCACATGAGGCTTGAAGTAGTATGTATAAAAAATTGACACCTTTTTCACTAAATATGCATTGCATATTGACCCTTCAACTCTTGCTCGCTCTTTACCTTGTTTTTTTTTTTTCTTAAAGATACATGTATTATGTACCTATGTTAGTTAATAAATATTTTTTAAAAAAATTAATCAAGGGTTCAAAATCAATACATTTATTTCAAATAGATACATCCACCGATGCTAAGTGGACTAGAAGATGTTCCATTAGGTCAAAGAAACATGATAGAAATTTGTGCTCAATTGTACACAAAATTAAAGGTAAGTCTATCTCGAGACGCTTCATATCTTCAATACTAATGACAAGTAGAAGTCAATTTTTTTTAAAGAATATTATCTTCAACACATATTCATTGAGAAACCTAGCCAAGTCTTCATTTTTTTCTAATTTTGATCGTTGACAATAAAGTTTCAAGCCTTCTTTAGAGTTGGAATTGTCTTTGATTTTTCCCGACACACTCATAAATGTATGAAACATATTATCAAAGAAATTTTTTTGAATGTGCATCTCATTCAAATTATGCTGAATTAAATCGAACTTCAATATGAAAGATCCTAGAATATACTCTATTTCTTCTAACCATAAGTTTTAGATATACTCGCTATTATATTCTCTAGAACCATCTTTCGTAACTTTCATCAACCTTTAATTTCCTATTTCGTGCAAAATATTCATTCTAGATTGGACCGAGAGAGCAATGTTTATGACAAATATATTTTTTTAAAAGTATTTATGTTCCTCCTAAATGGATGACTTTTTGGTAGAAACTTATGGTGATTGTCAAACCAAGAAGTCTGTCTACCATTATGAACACTAAAAGCTTCAAAATTTTCCATGCAATAAAAGCATACTATTTTAACCGTAATTTTGTAACCAAAAAAATTAAATATGTAGAGAAGTCATTGATTGTCTACATGACTATGGCTCGCATTTAAAACACATCATAGGTAACCATATCAACTTCCTATGAATTAAACAACTCTTTAATAAAGGGTCGTAAGTACAAATCTAGGTTGATCTTTGATTTTTTTTTTTTTTTATCTTAATACGATTATAGTTAAGAACATATATTTTTCCTTCATATACTTATATAATGGTAAGTTATAAGGGGTTACAATTACGAGCCATAACGAATATTGTCGTCCCGATGCATCAAATAGCCGAAACCCATTAGTGGAGACTCCCAATCTAATATTCCTAATTTTTGATGTAAAAGAAGGATGTTTTTAGTCAAAATGCTTTCATACAAAAGAGTCGGAGCAATGATGTATAATGTTTAACTCAACTTCATGTTCAAGCATGTCATGTCACTAGTTATGGCATTTGATGTATACATCATATATAACCATAAGGTTAGGGGAAACAATAGATTTTTTTATATGAGCATACATTTCTTTAACCAATCCCTACCTAAAACTTCAATGGTCACAAATTTCATAAGTAATTCTCTCACTTTTTTCACCCTTAATAAATCATGCATGCATTTATATAGTTATGGATCCATTGAACTTGTAAACCCATCAGTTCCACCAATTTTATCATATTGTAGAAGTTTTCTAGCAAAGACTTATCAATAAGCATTAACTTTTTTATAAAGTGACATAAGTAGTAGTAACACCTTTATGAAAAATGATGGTCGGACTTCAAGTGTAACAAATGTGCCAATATAGATAATTATGAATGGTTTTTATTAATGTAGGTGCCCAAGATCTAACCATGTTTGGATGGGTTTGAGCTATTGTATCATTACATGATTTATGATAAAGAAGTATTTCTATTAATTCTTATCATTTATATTTATTAATTGAATAGAATTTGATAGAAGTCCATATGATATGCATTTGCATTAGTGATTAATCGAAAGATGTGAGACAAACACTAATGCACATAAATGATATCATTGTCTCAAGTCATAGCATCATGAAGAATGGACATTGACTATATGCGACTAGACTTATGAGAGCTATGATAGCAGTAGGAGATCTCACACTTATTGGCTTGATGATACCAAAGTAAGCACTTAGGTGATTTATGTTAGAGAACGGATCACTAAACTTGACTCGCCATGAGAACCCATTTGGTTTAATCTATGAGAATCTCATATGAGATGGGTATAAATGGTCCTTAGACTTGAAGTCATCACGATTATCTCACTAGAGGATTTATGCACTTTGACATTCGTTTTGATGGACACAATAAAGGGTCGCACGTACATGATTCATCGGGTACACTAGGAATCTAATGGAGGTAGGTGTATGACTAAGATTGGACATGCCATTCCTTATATGATAAAGGATTTATCACATTGCACTTTGATGAATGTATGCTTAAGAAATCTATAGTCGTAGTAGGAGTACACCAATAGAGCATAGTTGGTTTACTTTAAGAGCTAAGACTTTTAAGAATCGAAGAAAACTTGTGTGATCATAATCGAGCTAGACTTATAGCCAAGTTCATGATCACACTCGTGATAAGTTGACATAAGGACTAAATTGTATGGTAACCATAATCGTAAAAGGTAATAATAGATTAATTAATCATTAATCCTTCATGCTAAAGGCCATGCTAGAGGCCAACCTTGATTTATGTATCAAGAGATAAAAGAGGAGTCTTTTGTTCTTGATACATTACCAACATATCTAGGAGCTTATTGAGTCATACATATAAATTTAAGTATTCAGATGATTAAAGAGAAGCAAAGACATTGGAAAAAGTTTCAAATTTTGAAAGCTTCATATTTTGGAAAAGGTTTCAAAAAATGAAAAGTTTCCTAAAATAAAAAGTTTTCAAAAATGAAAAGTTTTCTTAAATGGAAGTTTCATAAAATGAAAAGTTTCCTATTTTAGAAATCAGCTTCTTAATTTGAAAGTTGGTTCCAAATTTGGACATAAATAACCTAAAATGGAAGTGAGTTTCCTAATTTAGGTTTAAGAGTATTTTAGACAATTGTTTCTTAATGTAGACTACCTAAAATTATCTAAGATTATTTATTAATTGGGCCGTAATGGTTTTGACCTAATAGGTTTAATTAAAGAGGTTTTTTTTTTAAAACCAGGATACTTATAAAACTTATTTACAAAAATAAGGTTGTTTTAATCTTATTTATTAAAATAAGGTAGTTTTTGCTACATAGATTAAATCTTCTCGCACATATCATTTTTTTTAATACTAATAATAAATCATTTAACACATCAGCTTTACTTTTTTTAAAAAAATTATATTATCATCCTAAATTCTACTTCTTCATCTTCGTTTTACAACAGAAAAATCTCTTTTGTTTTTCTGTTTTTTTTTTATTCCTGATTAATAAAGATAAAAAAATAAAGATTTTGCCATGTTCCGTTTTCCAAATTTTTTTGGAATGCTCTGATATGCCACAGACAAAATGTTAGGGCACAAATCTTTCTCACACCCACCAATCCCGTCATTTTCAAGAACCACTCTTCTCCATCCCCAACCCACCCACCCTCTACATTATTTCCCTCTCAAAATCTCCAAAAAAATCCATCCAGGATTTTTCCTCTTTGCACAAACCAACAACAACAACCGAACTCAAGAACTAGAACAGGAGAAGGAAAATGGGTAATGGGTCTTCGAATAACAGTGGTGGTGGTGGTGATTTGAAGAAAGATCAACCTCCGCCCTTTAACAATATCAAGTGGGGTGATTTGTTACTGAAACCAGATCTTGAAAACAACTTGGCTATAGGATTAACTGGTTTGCTTGCTTGGGCTAGTGTTCAAGTTTTTTGGTAGCTTTCTTTATCTCTTTTGCTATTTTGGTTGCTGCTCTCAAGTACTCTTTCATTACTGTCCTTCTTACTTTCATCCTCATTGCCCTTCTTTAAGGGGTTTTTGTTCTTTCTTGGATACTTTCTTAATATTTGTAATAATGTCTTGAATTTTATGTGCATTATTGGTTCTCTGAATTTTAGCAGCAAAAGTTAATTTTTCCTTTGTTTGCTGTTGTTGAACTTTCACAAGCTAAAGTACTATGTCATTTGTGCCAGGCTCTGCTTTTGCACAAGGGAGTAGTTTGCTCTCAATTTCAAGAGATGTGAGGAGGAATTTGTCGGCATTGTATACTACTGCTAATGTTTTGATGAAAGTTAAGACTAGAAGAGGGATGGATGCTTCAAAAGGAACGATTCTCAGTTGAGGTCTTTTGCAATTTCAGAACATGATTGACGTACCGACATGCATAAAATCCACATAGCAAATGGAGAAAATCTCTTTGTATTGTGTTATACATCAAAGTCTGGTACTAGTGAGAAGTAACTGAAATTATTAGATTGTTACTTTGTAAAACTCCAAGATTATCATATGCAGTATTATATATAAAAAAAAAAGGCCATCTTGCTTTCAAATCTGATTACGAAGAATCTTATGTCCAAAAAGCAACTGAAATTATTAGATTCTTACTTTGGAAAACTCCTTCGTAAACTAAAATTATGTCTCTGAACTCTAAACATTTTGTATTATTTTTTTCTTGTTTCCATCTTTATTCAGGGGAAATCCCTTTTCATGCTTGTTCGAGTGTTGCTAACTGGAAAGCTCCACGGTCCTGACATAGGCTCTAGCATAATCCTTCTTCATCAAGCTGGAACTTGAGACATTGTTTCATCTTAATTTGCGTTTGTGAGATTGAATGAGAGGTTTGAAGTACTGAGGGAAATAGACTGGGAAAATGCTATTTCAGCAAATTGAGAATCCATAGTTTTGATTGCCAATTTTGAACTCTATTCTTTAGGTGCTTAAACTTGACGATGTTTTGAGTGATCGATGTGTGTTATATTGAGAAATGAGCATTCATTTTTAATGATCCACTATCATTGTGAGCCTTCATTAGAAATTTCAATTCTTTACTATGTTTATAAAACCAAGGTGTCCTAATCTAAGTCTCTGGAAGCTCAGTTGACAAAGGAATATTATCTAATTTTCAATATCAATATGCATGGTGTGTGTTCTTCATCTCCTTGCCTTGGTGTTTAGCGCAGCTTCTGCGATATGTTGATGCTCTTGAAATATGAAACCTTGGTACCAAATAATAATAAATAATCTCACTCTCTATTTATTTATTTATTTGTTCTTTAAACATAGGATGATGCTGTTCGATAGTGCTGCTAAAGTGCTATGAGTAAATTATAAATTAGTTCCTCTCATTTAGAGAAACGAATTATTGCATATCTAGTCTTGAGTACTTATTATTGACACATAATACAAGGCATCAAATGGAAAGATCTTGTGTAGTAAACTTTAAATAAAAAATTAAGAGTTCTGATGCAATTAAGGCTTACTTGATCTGTTTTGGGATGGTGATTCAAAAACTTAGTGAAACAAAGAAAGTTACACAAAAAGGTAATATGAATATTTTATATATTTCCTGCATTTCTTGGCAATCAATATCCAAATAAAGTTACAAAAAAAAGTTAATATGAATATTTTCTACATTTTGATTTGTGTAAAGTAGAGTAAAGAAGCAGCAAAACACAGATTGAATAATATAAGTACGAAATGTAAAGATGTACTTGCAGTTGGCCTTTGAAAACTGCTTTCTTAAAAGGATGCCAGTGTGGATCTTTATTTGGATCTTTATAATTTGCTTTAAGCCTTTTCCTTGCCGAGGCAAGCCTTTGATCAGCATTAAATTTGCTTACTTTCGGTTGTTCTCTCTGTCTCTGCAAAACCATAGATATCAAGTTCTTGAAAAATTCAATGAACTGGAATAAAATATAATACCAATGACTATGTAATATTTGGAACAAGTGACCTATATAAATTTGCTATTAGGGATGCTCTTGTTTTGCTTCTTTTATGCAAACATAAATTTTACTCATATCGGTAAACTACAACCCACAATTACATAAATTTTACAACAACAATGCATTACATCAATGTCTAGCTTTGCACACTGTTTCATGGATGCTAACGTTTAATCATCTATGCACAGCACAGACCATTTACTCATTTGCTGCGATGAATGCCACTATTTGGTACAGCAAGTTGAGTTTTGGAGGCTAGAAGTAGCAAGCAACAATCACTACTCAACTCTGTTTTTTTTTTTTTTTTGTCACATATATTTGGTGATAAATTTTTGACCATATGAATCTTCCCAAGTAAATTTTTTTGTTGAAAGAGGTTCCAACTTAATCCAGGCATTGTCTCTAACTCCAAATTGCCGAATGGTTATCATCTTGCCAGTTCTGTTCTCAATTCTGTTAAATGACACTTGCAAGTCAGCCACAACATGGATAGGTGAAATATGCACGTGTCCTTAGAGATATATAACATGACTACCTGATGGGACCATCAGGTGATGCAAGGCGGAATACAACTATAAAACGTGATCCTTCTTCAAATCCTCGTATTTCCATCCTCAACAAACTTAAAATTATGCCAATGTACAATACATTTTCTACTCTAGAAAGAATTAGCCTACGCCAAAAGTTAAGACACAACGTATCTAATATAGTTTCTTTAATTCCAAGAATAACAAGTAAAATGGATGAAGTGTGAAACTCATATTCATGAAATCAAGCATTTCTTCATAGTACAAGGGCACTTTCAGAGACAGTAGCAGTAGTAACAAAATAAGAAAAGAAAAGGAGAAAAGAAGGGATTTTGGCAGAGAGAATTTAAGAAATTGAATAAATAAAAACAAAAGAATTTAGAAAGTACCTTAATTGACGATATTCATATGCTAAAACACTTTTTTCGTAATTGTGATTTTGAATTGTGAGCTAATTTGAATTTTAAGAAATTAGGGTAAAGACAACAAAAGAGGGACAGAGAAAACTCAAGTTAATTTTTTTCTTTTATGTTTCTACTTTTTTAAAATTATTGTATTAAATATATATTCTAATAGTTAATTAAAAAAGATGACATAGATGCATACATGGCAAAATTACCTTGTTTTGATAAATAAGATTAAAACAACCTTATTTTTGTAAATAAGTTTTACAAGTACCCTATTTAGAAAAAAAAACTCTTTAATTAAAAGCCTAAAGATATTTTGATTGGAGGATAAACATCAACCTTATTGGATAAGAATGAATGTTTTAAAGATAAAGATCAAAAAGCCCACATGTAAAATAACTTCTAATCCTTAAAGGGAAGAAATTCAGCAAAGAGAGAAAATGTCTCTATGGTACATGGCAAAAAACAAAATAAAAGGAGAAAATAGTTTTCTCTTAAAACCCTAATACACGCCACTTTTCCTCTTCCTTTAAGGTTGTTGCAAACTTGGTCGATTAGTTTTTTTTAGGAAACACTACACAAATTAGAAAATGTGGAGCTAACACTCTACTAAGTTTGAGTGCTTCTTTGTAAATACTTGGATTGTATGGATCATCAATAGAGGTCGGACATTTGGATGATTTTTTTGTTAAAGTAAATGATGCATCGGCTACATTCATCACTATTGTGTGATATGGATTGATCGAAGATTCATCAAATATTTGTTCAACTTTAACAAAATTTCTCAAATTATTATCATAAACCATCGACTCACTTTTTTCATGACGTATCTACACATAATACTTAGATATAAAACCATATCTCATCAAATGGTACTTAACCGTATCATGATCTTTATAACTATAGTTCTAACACTTTTTGAGTTTAAAAGGACATCTTATCTTATTTCCGTACATACTATCAAGATGACTAACGACAAAAATAATAAATTCATTTATACCACAATGAAACTCGGATTTAAAAGACTATTGGTATATCTATAATTGATCTATGAACGATCCAAATTCATAATTATTTTTGTTTGTAAATTCGAGAAAAAATAGAATAACTAGTTATTACTATTTAAAAATTATGCATTGGATATCATATAAATGTTTGTTACAACTAATCAAAATTCTAACAAAATTTCGACTAAGTTTTCCCTATAAGCTGGATGTTTCTCAATTAACAAAACACATAATTAACACCAAATTAATTAATTCTATCCTCCTATCTCTATTTCGAAGCGTTGACACCAACCTTATACTTTCTTAATTACTTCTACAAGCGACATCATATTCCTAGGGTACCACCCTAATATCGATGACCAAACACTTCAAATTTTTCAGATTTCAAAGTATAACTACATAAATAGCCAATAATAATCTTGATAAAAATATTTTAACAAATGATTTCATACAATTATAAGCTGTAAAATTACACCTAAATAAATAAATTCAACACATAAATAAGTATTTTTAGCTACTAATTATTCTAATTTAACATATAAATAACTTAATTAACACCAACTTAATTAAACTAAAACCTAATTAACTTTTTTTAGAAATTAAATAATTTAATTAGCAACTAATTAATTTTTTTAATAGATAATTAATTCAATTAACAATTAATTAAATAAACATATCACCTATTTAAATATTTTAAAATTTTAATTAATTTAATTAGCAACCAAATAATTTTTTAAAATAATTAATTTAATTAACAACTAATTAAATAAACTTAGCACCTAATTAAATATTTTAAATATTTAATTAATTTAATTAATAACTCATTAAATTATTTTAACAACTAAATAACTTAATTAACAACTAATTAATTAAAATATCAACTAATTAATTTTTTAAAAAATTATATAATTAAATTAACAACTAATTAATTTAAATAATAAATAATTAAATAAAATAACACCTAATGAAATATTTTAAAAAATTAAATAATTTAACTAACAACTAATTAAATTATTTTAAAAACTAAATAACTTAATTAACAACTAATTAATTAAACTAACACCTATTAAATTTTTTAATTTATAAAATAATTTAATTAATAACCAATTATTTTTTTTAAATAATTAATTTAATTAACAACTAACAAATTACCACTAAAAATAAAATAAAATAAACTAACTAACGAGTTAACAAAAAAATTAATTAAGCAATAATATATATAAATATTGAAATCAAAGGCAAAAGAGAAAAAAATATTCAATAAAAGTATTGAACTCATAATGATTAGGTTGGGAGGAGAGAATAGAGGAGCTGCTGCGCACAAATGGGGGATGAGAAGAGGGAGGAGCTGCTCTCGGGGGGAGGAGAAGGAAATGAGAGAAAAAAGATGAAAATGGAGGAGGAAAAGGCAAAGAAGGGTGGGGAAGAAGAAGAAAAGAAGAGAAAATGGAAGCTTGGAGGGATTAATGGCTTCAATGGAGGATTTGGAGGGGATGGAGACATTGGAAAAGAAGAAGAAGAAGAGAGAAGAGAAGAAGAAAAAATAAGGAAAAAAAGTGTTTGCTAGTAATTTAGGGATTTTACATTTAAGTGACAGTTTTAAAATTGTTGATAAGCACAAAATCCCTCTTTTGGTTTTTTAATTTTGTTTTTCCCTCCCGGTTTGATATTTAGCAACGGTCTTATTAGACTGTCGCTAAAGTCACAAAAAATAAGGCAAATTAAAGCCATCGCTAAAGACCTCATTTTTATGGATTTTAGCGATGGTTTTTTTCTAAATCGTCACTAAAAAAAATAAAATATTTGGATGAATTTAGCGACAGTCTATTAAAACCATCACTAATTTTTCCATTTAGCGATGATTTAAGCAAAACGTTGATAAATATCCCAAAAGTATAAGTTAGCTTTTTATGGAAAATTTAGCTACAATCTTCTAAAACCATCCCTAAATTCAGCCTTTAGCGAAGGGTTAAGCATACCATCGCTAAATATTCCAAAAGAGTCGATCAATATTTTTGGGAAAATTTAGCGACGATCTGCTAAAGCCGTCCCTAAATTAGCCCAAAATGATTATTTAGCGATGCTTTTGGTACACCATCGCTAAAAAACCCAAATAAAGTGGAATCCGAGATGGTCCGACCGGACAATAGCTAAATATGTAGCTTTTTAACGATGATCCGCCCTAGACTATCGCTAAATCGACCATTTTTGCAAGGGTGTTACAAAATCATTTTGAATTTACATGTTTCTATATATGATTTTCAATACCATTGCTAAAAATCCAAAATGTAACTAAAATCGTGAGAGTCTACTCATATAGTCATAAATTCTTCATCTTTATTGACGATTTTCTAAACTATCGGTAAATAACAATCACTAATCCTATGTTTTGTTATAATGAAAGATTAATATATATATATATATACTTGCTTTTATTTTTAAATGACATGTTAATCTCATTTGGATTCTCTATTTTGCTTTTTTTAGCATAACAACATGCCAAGAAATGATTGGATTTATAAAATTGTACTGGTAGTCTTGATATATTTCTCAAAATGGCTTTATGAAAATCTTAAATGAATGGGTTTTATAATGCCTTGCTAAATTTGATGGATATATTTTCCGAATTCACTTGCCAAAAAACTCATGCACATTAAATGGGAGAAATCCAATGGTTGAAATCATTCAATTCGGAAAAATCTATCCATTAGATTTGTATTACTCTTACAACTATATATCTCATTTGTGTTTCCTAATCTTATTTGGACAATACCAAATATATAGCCTGATATTCAAAATTTTGCTGTTATGTGAATATCCGATCCAACACGGGAAGCAGGGTAATCTCTGACATTATCAATCTCATGAAGGCCACATTAGTAATTTCACAATTGAACAGCCACCAAGAACTTTGCTGTTAAATTTCCCGCCTCTTCGGAATGGCACAGTTTCTCCGACTGCTACTACTACTACAAAAAAGAAAAGAAAAGCATGAGTCATCAACGTCAATCACCCACTTGTAAGGCCAAAAACAGAGAATTACATCCCTTGACAATCATAACCGTGCATCCTTCGACGTATAAGGCCGAAAACAGAGAGTCGCATCCCTTGACAAAACACTTGATCATTGCCGTAACATGAAGAGACACCAATGTTAAACACAGTAATTAATTGTCCAGCTCAAACATTTTGGCACCCAAACCACTACATAAACCCTCTTTTGCTTGCTTAATCCTTGCATCAAACCATTAAACAAAGCCAAATTATCCCTTTAAGCACATAGTTTCCTTCTCTTAGATTCTGTTCTCAGTCTTCATTTTTCTTGATTTGCCATGGCTAATAACAAGGATTCTGCTGCGAATACCAACAAGGCCAACGAACAGCAGCAGGAAACTAACGCCAATATTAGTCCTAGTAGGAACCCCAGCAATCAAGAGGAGAGGCTTGTCAAACCAGACTGGCCTAGAGGGTCTTCTTCCAGGCTTGAAATTGGTGGACCCTCTTCTGTGCCTGCTCCTTCTGGGGCCGGTGCCACTGAAGTTGGGGGTTCTTCCACTGTGGTGACTACTGCTTCAACTACCCCTTCGGTTCCTGCAAGGGTTGGAGGCAGTGGTGTTACTGTGGACTTAAATGTTGTTTCTAGACCAACTGGAGAAGGATCTTCCAGAAGAAGATCTGAAAAGGCTATTGATAATTCTCCTGCTCGGAAGAGAGCAAAAGGAGAAATGGATGCTCCAAAAACCGAACCTAAATGCTACAGTTGTGGAAAAAAATTTGGTACATGGAAAGCTGTTTTCGGCCATATGCGGGCCCATCGTGACCGAGGTTGGAGAGGGGCTTTTCCTCCTCCCACCTGGTCTTCTCATGAAAAGACTGCCAAGGCTGATCGGACTGCGTTGCAAAACCAGTTGGCACCTACACTCCTGAACTTGGCCAAGGAGACTCTGGACAAGATGAACCAGTATCAAGCCGAGGCTGTTTCTCCGAGAAGAGAAAGAAGCTTAGATTTTGATCTCAATATTGAGCCTGGAGGAATTTCCGGAAGTAATTCTGGCTCTTCTACTCCGCATGCGCAGCCTTCAAGTGGTGCAAGAGATTTTGATCTCAACATGCCGCCAAAAAATGGTAGCAATGAGAACGAGGGATCATCAAATGATTGATGATCAAAGAAAACGAATGATCTGTATATATTTTGTCTAATTTGAAGTTTAGAATAAGAGTATCTTTCCAGTTAGTGGCTAAAGTTTAAGCCCCCCTTCTTTTTTTTTTTTTTGGTGTGACAATACATTTTTCTTTTTCTGTCCCTTGAAAGAAATAGATACATAAAAAATAAAAATAAAAATTCACATTTGGACTCACTAAAAATGATAAAAAGATTTTTATGTTAGTTTTTTTTTAAAAAAATTTCTATCTCCTATTTCTCTTTTTTGTTTATATCTATCTCTTTATGCAATAACTTATATTAATTATTATTTGAGTATTATAAAATTTCTAGCAAGTAACTCGATTCTCAATCCACAATGCAAGCCCATAGGGCCTTACCGTTGTCAATTTCTAGCTAGTTGGGATTTAGTTTAGTTTATATGCTACGTGGTGATGAGATTAATATTTGGACATTTCACATATTATATACATAAATTTTAGATTTTGAAATATTTTTTTTTGATGAAAATGTCCATCTTCTTTTTAAACTTTATACCAAATGTATGCCTATTATTCTTAATTTCATTTAACGAACTTATATGTGTAATTTTACTTTTAAGTCGGGATAGAGATCGAATTCTTTTTATTTTTCTTTTGATAAGCCGGGATCCGTTGATTAAAAACACCATTACCAAGATGTAGTCATGAAGAAAAGAATTATAGAACCAGCTGCCAAGTAGCAAAAAAACAAAAGCAAAAAGGAAAAGGAAAGGCATGCCAATTTAGCCACAAAATATGGCTAATTAAGAGAGAACCAAAACCATGAAAACCTAGCCAACCATACTATAATGCTTGCGGCTCAACAAGATTGAGAGTGCTACTACACTATCGCACACTCGAGAATGTAAGACAATGCACGATGTCCTCTACTTTGGACCTTTATGACAATACATGATGGAATACTTTATTTGGTTTAAAACTTAAGACTTCCTTAGATTCGATATTTAATGCTAATAAATTTTTTGCAACCCATGACATAATATAAACTATTTCATTTCTATTCAAAATTGAAACAAGAACTTAAAATGAATATAATCATCACTAGATTAAAACTAATGAGATCATAAATCAAGCTTGATCCTTTAATATGCTTAATGCATCCATAAACATCCATTTACTTCAAATCTCCTAAATATATAAATATTAAGACATCTAAAGTACAAAAATGTATCATCTATAACCCAAAATGGTTGAATCTAGATGTTATCAAAAAATGGTCAAACCTAACAATGGTTTAGCCTTCAAACTTTAAACCTAGAACTCGTAGTACTCGATTTGGCAAGCTATAGATTCGGCAAACTCTATAGCTCATGACTAGTATCCTCAACACATCTATTTGTCTTTAAGTATTGCTTTATTCACTTACACCATAATACAAACAAAATGAGCTAAAGCTTAGTAAATGTAGCCATACATTAATGCAAACAAATTCATTATTCATGATTTTAAAATACATTTTCTATCATCTCAAGAATAGTATACACTATATCATTCTCTTATAAGCTATCACATCAAGGGTATACACCAAATTATTTCATTCACATACTCGTAGTATTCACTAGGTCATTCTCTTAGTATGCCTCTTTTAAAACATATAAAGAGTATCCACTAGATCATTCCTTTTGTATATCTTATAAAGAGTATACATTAGATCATTTCATTTGTAAGCTTGTCTTGAAAACAAGAATATGACTTTTCTTTGAATACTTGAAATCATATATAAAACATTTTATGGGGTGAATATAATTAAAATACGATATCAAGTATAAACATTAACAAGAATCATATGACATCAAGCCATTCTTGGATACATTTCACATGACATGAAAAGGTTGAATATAATCAAGTATACCATCCATATTATTCAACCAAAGACACTACATTTAACTAAACCATATTTCATATTCGGTCTAGAAAGTTGATCCGAATTCTATTCGAAATCTAGTTAGTTATAGAATTTAATTCATATCTAAAATTTAAAAACTTTAATTGATACAAAGCTAAGCCCATAGAGTACTTAAAATGCATGCCTACAATTCTTATGAGATCTTGAGTCTAAACTAGGTTGGTCCGATAGAGGAATTCAGCTACAAACTTAGAATCTTAAAGTTGGATGGATAGGTTAAGTTAATAGTAGTATTTAGCCCATAGCTAAAGTTATGGATCTCTAATTAATGCAAGACTTATTATCTTGGAAAGATAAGAAATAGAGCTATAATTTATTGAAGAAAGAAAAATCTAGTTTGGCATGTATAAAGTCCATTAAAGATGAATACTCAAAAGAACACACACGCTATGAGTAAAAGTCTCTACCCCTGTGTGAGAGCAACAAAAGACACACCACCGTATGTCTAGCTGCGGATCAAGTTTCTAGTAGTTTCACAACACACACGGCCGATTGTGTGTTTTCCCCCGATGTTATGTACTCTTTTTTTTTTCTATATACTTGGATTTGAGGGGAGGTGGTAGGTAGTTAGTTGAGAGAGAGAACAAACTATATTCTCATTTGTTTTGGGTGCTCGATTAGCATGTGTGGCTAAATTATTTGCATCGGTTCAAGAAGATTTCAAAATATGGCTTTATAGTTTTCATCAACGAAAACATACAATAATAACTCAATCAATTATCATTCAAACAATCCAAAGCCCTATTAACAAGACATAAAAAAGCATGAATCCATCACAAAATCTCATACAAACATTAATCTTAGGAAATTCACTCTTGGTCGAATATGGTCACACCCATATAGATCAAATACACATTCATTCTCAAGCTATTTCACATCCATTTATCCATAAACATACATATTCATCATAATCCATCATAATTTAAAGCATTAGGAAAACCATTCAAATATTTCTCTTTTGGTTGAATGTTTCTTCCATTCAACCAAAAGAAAATTTTCTCAATCATTCATTCTATAAAAGTCATGTTATTATGTTTAAGTATAATCTTCCACAAAACTTATTTAATTTAGTTGTTAGGTTAATTAGGGTTAATGGCCTAATCTAATTCCCAACTAAAATATCCTAATTCTATATTTCAAAGCATTTAATTCCAACAAACCAAGGTTAAACCCTCTATATTTCATGACCTAACCATCCAATTCAACAATCTCTTACTTTTGAGGCTTGGCCGAACGACCCTCTTAGCAAGCAACCAAGTTGATTTCTTTGCAATAAACCCTAAATAATCATTATTTAATCTCCTTTAAACACCATTTAAACATACATATTTCACTCTAGTTTTCATGTTGGTCAAATCTCTTAAGCCTAACTAGCCATTTAATTCCATCAATTGCCTCTTCAGCTTCATGCCAAAAGATGGCTTACACATTTAATCGAACACCTTTGCATCAATTTTCTATAAACAATTCTCCCTAATTCTTTCTAATCTTGGATGAAGGGTTCATTCCAATGAACCCATTCCTTAAGCTCCTCCTTTTCCCATTCAATCACCAAATAATGATCATCAATTCACCAAGCACATCAATACACATTTAATTACTCAAATCACACATAATCACACTACTTAAGCATAAACCATAATTCCCAATTCATAATAAATAATAATTAATCAATCAAACCATTAAATCAATTGTAATGTAGATGAGATTATACTTACCTTAAGTTTGATTAAGGATGAAATCACCTCAAAACCTCCAAAATCAAACCTCTCCTCCTCTTTCAATATTTTGGTCAAAATAGCTCCTCTCTTCTTTTTCTTCTTTTGGCCAAGTTAGCTTCCTCTTGGTAAATTTCAACTCTCTCTTGCTTTCTCTCTTTTGATTTTGTCCTTCTTGCTCTCTTTCTATCTTAGCATCCAAGACCTCTCCAAATAGATGGATGGAGGTAAAATGAAATGTTAAATGTACCAAGCCAAAATATTTCCCCTTTTATTTCTCTCTTGGCCAAAAATTTTACCTAAAATGCCCTTAATGAGCTACATATCCTAATGTTATATTTTACACATAGACATTTTAATTTAGGTGGAGCACTTACTTATGGTATTATTTTCCTTAGTTAATACATGTCTAGGTACTAATAAAAATTTTAAATCCTAAGTTATACATATATAGGAATATTTAATTAAACTATATTTTTAAGTCTTTCACTTGTCAATTAATTTATTATTCATAAGTAACACTTAGTACATTAATTTTAATAATAAAATACTTATCAATAATTACACAAACATGGCATGAACATACTTAGCAAAATAAATATGCACATAAAGCATAAAAAATAAATTCGAGTATTACATCCTTCCCTTCTTATAAAAATTCCATCCTCAAAATTTAACTTACTCAACTCTACCACATTAGGAATCTTTCTTGACCTCTTCTTGCATCATCATACATTATCTTCTCGGTACTTTTGGTATGGGCTTTTCTTTAGGAAAATGCTTTCCCAAGGGTCCAACATCTTTGCAAGAGTAACAAACACTAGTGCCACGCAAATAATTCTTGATGTGCTTTCGACCACACTTGATGCAATTTAGCTGGTTTTATGCTTATACCCTTTGCTCGTCCTTGAGAATATTTAGCTCTCTTAGCATTGTTTGACCACGTCTTTTCAAATATGTTTTGGTCCACAACCTCGCTCAATGAAGTTGTTTGCAACATATGGCCTTTTTGCTCATTGTAGCCTAACTATCTCCTTATAGTCTTCCTCTATCTTTAGTGCTCTAATAACCATGTCACCACATAGTTATCTATTGATACTCGTACTAGACTACATACTTTAAACTTCAAACCTCTTAGAAAGTGGCCCCTATTTTGTTCGAGTATCTCCCGTAATGAAGTTTGCAAATTGGAAACCATACTTAAATATAAAGACATATTCAACCACCGTCATATCCCCTTATTATAATTTTAGAAACTCCCGAATCTTCTTTGACTTTACATTATTGAGAAGAATTTCTCATTGAAGACCCTTTTGAATTGTGTCCATGTAAG